TTTACATGCCTGAACTTTTTTGTATTCTGATGTCTTAACCTCTTAAGGCCTTGCGGACTATGAAGGGACTGTTCCTTCCAGGGTTAAATAGTAAATAACGTGGCTGTCTCTGCACTTTTCATTAGAAACTAACCAGTCCAGAGCCACTATCCACCTGCCCTGGTTACCCCAAAGCTGCCAACTACCAGACAACCAGGGGCAGCCCGTGCTCCAGAGCCCGCTGAAATGACCCCGCCTCACCTGTTCCTTCCCGTGGAAACCACAGTAAGGACTCTTGTCCACATTGTCCCCTCATTCCTCCGGTCCCTGGCAGACTCTGGTGCTTCCTCATATGGCCCCTCGAGGTGTGAACAGCCCCCTTCTCTTGGGACCTGTGAGTATAACAGAGTATGTATTTTCAATGGCATTTGTCTCCTCATCTCTTAGCCTTGCCATACCTAAAAAATAATCTATATTTTAAAACACTCTCCACAATCTATTCCTCTTCTGGTGGAAAAATGTGCCTAAGTGGTCGCCTCAAGACTCAACTCTGATCATCTTCTACCCTCTCACCTTATTTGAAATCTTTCAGTGACCTCCCGCTGTCCTCATGATAACATGAAACATCCTCACTGTGGTTTCCAGAGCTTTGCATGATCCAACCTGAATCTCTGACCTCCTTAATCCTACCTCCGGGCCTTTGCACTAGCTGCTCTCTCTACTCTACTCCCTTCCGACATCTGCGTGTGACTCTCCTTGTCCCCCTTCTTGACCTCAGCCTCCTCAGGAAAGTCTATCATGACTGCTCCTCCCTACAGTTGTTCTTTATCTTTGTCTCCTCCTCAAGATCCATTCATTTGCAGATTTGTTTACTTGTATATTAACCATCTCCTCAACTAGAGCGTCCACTTCTCGAGGGCAGAAGGTAAGTCTATTTCGCCCCTTGTTGTATCCCAGCATTCAGTGCATACTTGGTCAGCACCCAGTAAACACTTGGTGAAATAATGAATGCCTGTGCCAAGCTCTGCATGATGCTTCCTCTTTGTTGACTCCTTTCATCTCCATGGCAACCCTGTGAGATAAAGATTTTCATCTCAAGTCTACTGGGAAGGAAACACTCAGACAGGTAAAGTAACGTACCCAGAGTCACATAGCTACTGAATGGCATGGGCTTGAAACCCTGATCAATGTGTATGCCAGAGTTGGGCTGTCTTCTTTCCTAAGGCAGACCACCTCCCCTCACGCGAGACTTTAAATGGCACCCTGAGATAATCACAATTAGGTGTAAGCTTCCTTTTCAGTCTGATAGATTCATGAACTCAGGGAATAGAAGTCCAGAAATTCAGATGAAGAGAGAGAGAAAACACAAAAAAACAAAAAACAAAACCACTTTCTTATCTAAAATACCCTAGTCAAGTCTCAGACCCTAACTGAAGGTAGAGTTGAATGAACTTCCTGTGGGTACAAACAAGATCTTTACATCGACAGCTATTTCCTCAAGCCTGCCTCTCCTTTAAATAGCAAAATTATGCAAAATAAATGTTCCCAGCTATTTTGGTGAATTATATGCTATCTATACCCCACAAAATTCACGGAGTTGTCAGCCAGCCTGTGTGGAAGCCCTCGTGTACTTAACATATGCCACAGCTATTTCCTTTCATAGTTCTTTCTTTTTCCCTTAGAACTCTTGGCCTGTGTAGTTGATACATGTTTTTAGAAACCCGACCCATTCAAAATGTAGCCGGGCCTTCAGAATCTAATTTAATGTCAAAGGTCTCCTTTTATGTCTGTCTTAAAACAAGGGTTCATGAACAAAGGTGCCCTGGCTTCTTGGGGTTTGCCAGGGAAGGAGTGTGGGCAGGTCCTGGTTTAAAACTGCAGGGAGCTGAGCCACTTTCTCAAAGTCACATTCCACGAAGGTCAATGTCCTCCGTGCTCAGCGCAGAAAGGTGGCTTGAGGGAAGGCGGGCGGGAGGGAAACTAATATTGACTCAATGCCCACGGTCGCCAGTTCACCAAGCTCAGTTAATCTACGGGAAGGTCCTGCAAGCTGGTCATGGTCCCTGTTTCACAGAGGTAACATGCTTAGCAGATGCTGCCTGATCAGCAAGAACTCTGCACCTAGTCGCTGTTGTTTATGTGGGTTTATTATTAAAGTATAGACGCCCAGGTTAAAAATCACAAAAAATCACAGAAGGCTCCAAAATAGAGAGCAAAGAATACTTCCTTTTCCTCAAAACACCCCATTTCTACCCAGTCTTCCTTCCCAGAAGCAACCAGATCTCGGCTCTTATGTATCCTTCCAGAAGGTCCAAGCTGTGGAAGCATAAATAATCTACAGCAGCACACTCAGACTTAAACCTGCACACGTTGCCTGGGGGCCTGGTTAAAATGCAGATGCTGATTTAGTAGGTCTGGGTCAGGGCCTGCATTTCTTATAAGCCCTAAGGGGATGCCAGGCCTCTGGTTTGAGACCACACATAAGTCTCCATAGCAAGGACCTAGATCATGGGATCTTATTCTAACATATTTAATGAAGAGCCCCAACAATTTTTTTTCTATTGGCTCTTACAGATCAACTTGTGTGCATGTTTCATGTCTGTGCGTATATTGTGGTAAAATATACATAACATAAAATTTACCATTTTGATCATTTTAAGTGGATTTAAGTGAATGTACATTAGGTACATTCACATTGTTGTGCAACCATCACCGCTATTCATCTCCATAACTTTTTCATCTTCCCCAACTGAGATTCTATACCCATTAAATACCAACTCCCCATCCTCTCCTCCCTCCAGCACCTACTTTCCATCTCTGTGAATTTGACCATTTTTGGCCCTTTTGTGTAGGTGGACAATATTTGTCATTTTGTGTTCAGTTTATTTCACTCAGCGTAATGTCTTCAAAGTTCATCCATGTTGTAGTATTTGTCAGAATTTCCTTCCTTTTTAAGGCAGAATAATATTCCATTTATGGATAGACCACACTTGGTTCATTCGTTCACCCATTCATCCACTGATGGACACTTGGATTGTTTCTGTCTGGTTATTGTGATACAGATCAACTGAAAACATTAAAAAAAATTCTTTTTTCTGAATTGGATATGCCATAATCTCTAGCATTATTCCTCTCCCGATGATTGTTCCTAGTTTTGTTAAGACACCACACTTAGTTAATAATTATCAAATGCAAAGCTGCAAACAGCCTACAAGCTTCAGAGAAGAGCACCAACAGAGTGGCTGGGAGTGAGGACTGTGGGAAATCAGGTGGCTTTGCCCACGTCTGACTTAGACACCCTCTGTGTGACCTTGGACAGCTCCCAGCCCTTCTGTGCTTGAGTGTCCTCATCTGGAACACCGGATAGTGAACGTGAAAGTTAAATAAGATAATCAATGTGAAGAGCAAACCCTGGACCTGACCCATGGCACGCTAATAATCTATACCAGCTGTTATTTGTGTGGTAAATCACTGCCAACCTGTGTCTATCCCTACAGTGAATTGCCAGCATGACCATTCTAGGTGGGCACACTTAGCGTTTTACTTTTTTTTCCCCTCACCCGAGGACATTTTTGCATTTATCTTCAGACAGGTGGGAGGGAGAGAGGGAGGAAGAGAGAGAGAGAAAAACATCAATATGAGAGAGACCCCACAGGACCCCAACCAGGTCGCCACCCGTAGGACCGGGAACAAACTGCAACCGAGGCACGTGCCCTTAGCGGGAACTGAACCCTGGACTCTCTGGTCCACGGGCCAAAGCTCTAACCACTGAGCAAAACCGGCCAGGGCAGTGTTTTACATCACAAATTACCTTCCAAAAAGGTTGCAGTTGCCCTGGCCGGTTTGGCTCAGCGGTTAGAGCGTCGGCCTGCGGTCCTGAGAGACCCGGGTTTGGTTCCCGCTAAGGGCGTGTACCTCGGTTGCAGTTTGTCCCCAGCCCTGGTCAGTCGTGCGGGTGGCAGCCACTCGATGTGTTCCTTTCACATCGATGTTTCTCTCTCTCTCTCTCTGTTCCTCTCTCTCCCTCCCACTCTACCTGAACAAAAAAAATGAAAAAATGTCCTCAGGTGAGGATAAAAAAACAAAACAAAAAGGTTGCAGTGGTTGCTACTAGTCACAGAAAGAAGTATGGAGCCCTGGACAGTCCTTGAAAAGAGGATGTGATAAGAACAGTAGTCAAGGAAAATTATCCGGCCACGTAGTCATTTCCTTCTCTGATGTTACCCTCAGAGTTGAGGGTGATCCATGGATCTTTCCTTCATTTCTGAAAGTGAAGTGATAATGTGCATAAATGTTCATGTCCTTCCTCTGCCTGATGCTTACCTATGTTTTTATCTTGTGCAAGTACCTTGGGGGGACTGTTTATGTTTTTATTTTGGGGTTGCTTCTTAGGGTCAAAGAGTCTCTTTCTGGAACCCATTTCACACCACCCCTTACTCAGTGGGTTGCAGCGTTGTCCAATCTACAGGGACAACATTGGCCAGATGTAGCCATGCTATTCCTTTAGACTTAGAGGAAAAACTGCCCCAGATGGTCAGATATCCTACATTTTAAGAGACATCAGAAGTCTTGCTTTTTATGTGAATTCTTTTAATTTAAAACAAAAATGGCATCCACCTAAAAAATACCATTTAGACAACTTTTTGTGGACATAATGTACCCTTTAGGTGACCAAATTATCTCTGTTATAGAGGGATGAGTCTAAATTCTGAAACATACATGCTTCCAAACAGTATTCAAGTCTAGAACAAAGATATCCTCATTCCCATAGTCTGCCATGTGAATACAGTCCTTTGGAGTTGTGCAGTGCCCAACCTATACAACTGTACGTGGCAGCCCTCATACACACCTTTTGAAGTTGTCTCCCCTACAGTCCAACTCAATAGAAATGCCAACCTCCTACCCATTCAACTCCCCTGACCATGCAAAAGCCTTTTACCTGTCTTGGGCACAAGAGCTGTGTAGCAAGGCTGTTGAGGGGGAGTTCTAGCCTTCATGACCAGATTTGCTCTGTCCTCTAGGGTGGTGAAATTTCGTCGCACGGGCGAGAGTGCAAGGTCAGAGGATGACACGGCTTCGGGAGAACATGAGGTCCAGATTGAAGGGGTCCGCACGGGCCTACAGGCGGTCGAGCTAGACGATGGGGCAGCTGTGCCCAAGGAGTTTGCCAATCCCACTGACGGTGAGGGGGCCTTGCATTTGAGGCATCAGCCCAGGCCACAGTCAGGGGCTCTGAGATGCCAGGGTTCCCTCCCCAAGTGCCACTCTCAGAGGGATCTCATGAAGGGGCAAGAAGGAGGGCCCAGAGGGCCCAGGGCTGATACTGGAAGGGGAGCTGAACCGACATGGCTTACTTCAGCAGGCAAGGTTACATCACAATCCCTGCCATCAGCTTCATTGCATAACACTTGGCAGAGGACAGTGCAACAACAATAATGATGATGATGATGATGGTGATGACAGTGGTGGTGGTGATGATGGTGATGACAGTGGTGGTGGTGATGATGATGACAGTGATGATGATGATGGTGATGACAGTGGTGGTGGTGATGATGGTGATGACAGTGGTGGTGGTGATGATGGTGATGACAGTGGTGGTGGTGATGATGGTGATGATGGTGATGACAATGGTGGTGGTGATGATGGTGATGACAGTGGTGGTGGTGATGATGATGATGATGGTGATGACAATGGTGGTGGTGATGATGGTGATGACAGTGGTGGTGGTGATGATGGTGATGATGGTGATGACAATGGTGGTGGTGATGATGGTGATGACAGTGGTGGTGGTGATGATGGTGATGACAGTGGTGGTGGTGATGATGGTGATGATGGTGATGACAGTGGTGGTGGTGATGATGGTGACAGTGATGATGATGATGATGGTGATGACGGTGGTGGTGGTGATGATGGTGATGATGGTGATGACAGTGGTGGTGGTGATGATGGTGATGATGGTGATGACAGTGGTGGTGGTGATGATGATGACAGTGATGATGATGATGATGGTGATGACGGTGGTGGTGGTGATGATGGTGATGATGGTGATGACAATGGTGGTGGTGATGATGGTGATGACAGTGGTGGTGGTGATGATGGTGATGATGGTGATGACAGTGGTGGTGGTGATGATGGTGATGATGGTGATGACAGTGGTGGTGGTGATGATGATGACAGTGATGATGATGATGATGGTGATGACGGTGGTGGTGGTGATGATGGTGATGACAATGGTGGTGGTGATGATGGTGATGACAGTGGTGGTGGTGATGATGGTGATGATGGTGATGACAGTGGTGGTGGTGATGATGGTGATGACAGTGGTGGTGGTGATGATGGTGATGATGGTGATGACAGTGGTGGTGGTGATGATGGTGATGATGGTGTTGACAGTGGTGGTGGTGATGATGATGATAGTGATGATGATGATGGTGATGACAGTGGTGGTGGTGATGATGGTGATGACAGTGGTGGTGGTGATGATGATGACAGTGATGATGATGATGATGGTGATGATGGTGGTGGTGGTAGTGATGATGATGACAGTGATGACAGTGGTGGTGGTGATGATGATGATAGTGATGATGATGATGATGGTGATGACAGTGGTGGTGGTGATGATGATGATGATAGTGATGATGGTGATGACAGTGGTGGTGGTGATGATGATGATAGTGTATTAATGAAGTGGTGATGATGATGGTGGTGTGATGGTGATGATTATGATAGTGATGATAATGGTGGTGGTGGTGGTGATGAATGGTGGTGGTGGTGGTAATGATAATGTAATGACTGGTGATGATGGTGACAGTAATGAGGATGGTTGTGATGAAGGTGATGATTATGATAATCATGATGATAGTGTTGGTGATGGTGATGATGATAGTGATGATATTGGTGATGATGGTGGTGGTGGTGGTGGTGATGGTGATGATAATGTAATGATGATGGTGATGATGACAGTAATGAGGATGGTTGTGATGAAGGTGATGATTATGATAATCATGATGATGGTGGTGGAGGTGGTGATGATGATATTGTGATGGGAACAGCTGACACTAGCTGAGGATTTACTCTGTGCCAGGCACTGTTGTAGGCATTTTATGCATATTACTCATTTAATCTTTACAACATTTGTAATTGGAACTATCACAATCCTCTTCCCCATTTTGCAGAAGAGAAAACTGAAGCACAGAAAGGTTAAATATCTTGCCCAGGATCACACAGCAAAAAGTAACCAAGCTAGATTTACCCAGGTGATCTGATCTTGGTATCCACATTCTTACTCATGACCTTGTGCTGCCTCTGAGTAGAGCTGGTCCAACAAAGAGACCTGAGGCAGTGCTGTGGTGTGTCTCCCTTCGTCACGTGATGCTGATGGCTGAAAGCATTCCATGCATCCCTGAAAGGCCCCAGATTGCCAATAGGAGAGAGGATTAATGACTTGAACCCAAGGCTGCGGTGGGCAGAGCTAAGGAGGCAATGACTAGGGAGAGGAGAGGCAGCGGTTAGGAGCAGCGGCTTTACTGTCAGGCTGGTCTGGGCTCAACTCCCAGATGTGCAGTGTGCCAGCTGTGTGCCACTGGGAATGTCCATTTCCTCCTCTGTAAATGGGGCTAAGACCCGGCCTTAACGAATGGTTGTGACGGGGACTAAATGAGATAATGCACGTCAAGCTCTCAGCACAGTGCCTGGTGCGTGGCGAACACTCAACAGTGCACGGGTATGTCCTTACCACTCTTCATGTTACTGATGATGTGGTCGGGCTCCCTCTGCTTTCTCCTCAATATTAAAATAAAATTTGTTTTTCTTTTATTGATTTTAAAGAGAGAGGAAGGGAGAGGGAGAGAGAGAGAAACATTGATGAGAGAGAACATCAACTGGACACCCCCCCCCCACTGGGGATCGGGCCCACAACCTGGGCATGTGCCCTGACTGGGAATCGAACCCACGACCTCTTGGTGCATGGGTCGACGCTCAACCACTGAGCCACACTGGCCGGGCTCTCCTCAATATTTTTGCTAGAAAAACACAGACACCTGCTGGTGTGATGAAGACCAGCTCACACTTCTGGATAACATTATGGTTGACATTAGAGGCCCATGATTGAGCATCCAAACAGCTAGCAACTGCCAGCAGGCACTGCTGAGACCCTGAGAAGCAGCCCACAGACGGGCCGCCAGATGCTCCTTTAGTATTTTTATTGCTTTTTACAAAATATGCTTTATTAATGTTTTAGAGAAAGAGGAAGGGAGAGAGAGTCAGAAACACCGATGAGAGAGAGAAACATCAACTGACTGCCTCCTCACACCCCCCACCAGATACTGAGCCTGAAACTCGGCATGTGCTCTTGACTGAGAATCAAACAGGACCTCTCAGTCCATACACTGAACCACGCCAGCTGGGCAGTGTTTTTATTGTTTAATTAACTTTTTTTTTTTTTTTTATCCTCACCCGAGGACATTTTTTTGTTTTTTGTTCAGATAGAGTGGGAGGGAGAGAGGAAGAGAGAGACAGAGAGAAACATTGACGTGAAAGGGACACATCGAGTGGTCGCCACCCGCACAACCCAACCAGGGCCAGGGACAAACTGCAACCAAGGTGCATACCCTTAGCGGGAACCGAACCTGGGTCTCTCTGGACTGCAGTCCGACGCTCTAACCACTGAGCAAAACTGGCCAGGGCTAATTAACTTTTTATATTGGAGTCATTATAAATTTAGAGAAAAGTTGCAAGGATACTACCAAAAATTCCCTTACACCCTTCATGCAGTTTGGCCTCATGTTAACATCACACCTAACCACGGTACATTTGTCACAACTAAGATAAACTCTGGTGCAATCCTTTTCACTAAAACCCACACTTTTTTCGAGTTTCGCCAGTTTTTTTTAGCATTATTGTTGCAGGATACAGCCCTCCACAGCACATTGTACTTAGCCTTTTAGTCTTTTTCAAAAGACTTGTTAGATTACAAATTATGTCATTTTTTTGAGCATACAAATAATGTGTTTATTTGGAAAGCATCCAGACATTATAGAAATGTACAAAGTAGGTAAGTGAGCGCTGGCCTCAAAGATGATCCTGTGGCCACTCAGTCTTACTTCCCCTGCGTGGCACCTGCTCACACACGCATGTCTGATTTTATCCCAAAGACAGTTCTTATGGTAGGTGCCTCTCCACTAGTTGTCTGTCATGTAACAATAGTGTGGATATCTTTTGCAGCTGATGAAATTCTACTTTTACGAAGTATTTTTTCCCGACTGTGGCAGTAATACATTGTAAAAGGGAGAAAGCTAAAGTCTCAAATGATGTCTCCCTTCCTCCCTCCAAAGACAACAAAAGTAAAACCATAATGTAAAGTTCTATATACATTCCATGCATATTCACATATACATATACATATACATATACATATACATATACATATACACACACATGCATCCATTTCCAAGAAGAGAACCATACTAAATATTTTGTTTTCCATCTTGCTTTGTTTTTAAAAATGAATAATATATTGTGTGCATCTTTCTACATCAGTACATTCTTTTTAAATTTTTTTTTTTATTGATTTTTAGAGAGAGAGGAAAGAAGAGGGAGGAAGAGATTGAGAGAGAACATCGACTGGCCGCCTCCTGCATGCCCCTCCCCGCCCCCCCGCCGAGGATCAGGCCCACAACCGGGGCATGTGCCCTGACCGGGAATCAAACCAGCGACCTCTGGGTGCATGGGCCGACGCTCAACCACTGAGCCACACCGGATGGGCCAGCACATTATTTTTTAACAGTTGGGTCAAATTTCATAACGTGGATATATAAACCTTTATATAAAATTATATGTCATTTATTTAACCAACCCCCATGGATAGACATTCTGTTTACCAGTTTTTCCTTTTGTAGACAATGTTACAGTGGATTTCCGTAGCGAGGTGTCTTTTCACACTTGTAGGGTTGTTTTTCTGAGATAAATTCTAGAAGCAGCATGTGCTGCCTTTAAAGAGCTTGGCTGGGGACCCCCTGAACACCCCACTCTAGGACAACTATAAGATGCCCTGACTCCATCCTCCCCTCCCCCTTTCTCCTTCCCAGATACTTTCATGGTGGAAGATGCGGTGGAAGCCATTGGGTTTGGCAAATTTCAATGGAAGCTGTCTGTTCTCACCGGCTTGGCCTGGGCAAGTATTTCTGGGGCAGTGACCTCACATTCAGTCTCCAAGAAACCCTTGCTTAGGTTGCTCCCCTGGGTTTCCATGATCTATAAGGAAGGACACTGTTCTTCCCACAGAGAGCCTTGGCTTGAGTCAATAAGGTTTATGTTGAGTGACCCAAGTGGCAATGAAGGTCAGTACTTTGGGGGGGGGGGTTGGGTAATGTTGACAATTGCCCTCAAGGAGGAGTTGAAGCTTCTAGCTAATTAAATGCTTCTCAATCCTTTGGGGCTCAGGCTTCTGTGAGATTATGAAGTCATCTGTGGAGCTCACCCTAGAAAAACATGCACAGATTAAATGAGCCCTTTGCTTCACGAGGCTCATGATCTCTTGTTAAAATCCCCTCACCTTCCTATTGCAAATGACGCACCTAGACCATTAACATGACTAAAATTGATTTTGGGGGGTGCAAGAGGGTGACCTAACTAAATGCTTTTCCAAATAGATCTTCAATTTTCCCACTCATTTTTTTTAAAATCCTCACCCCAGGATATTTTTCCATTATCTTGAGATAGAGTGGGAGGGGGAGAGAGAGAGAGAGAAACATTGATGTGAGAAAGACAAGTCGATCGGTTGCTTCCTGCACAACCCCGACCAGGGCCAGGACGAACCGCAACTGAGGTACGTGCCCTTGACCGGAATGGAACCTGAGACTCTTTGGTCCTCAGGCCAATTCTAACCGCTGAGCCAAACCGACATGGGTCTGCTTCTGGATCCTCATTTCTGTCCCATTGTTTTATCTAGTCTCGTAGAGGATGTTTAATTATTGGGGCTTCCTAGTATGTTTTAATATATAAATATTTTAAAATACGTTTTTATTGATTTTTTAGAGAGAGTTAGGGAGACAGAGAGATAGAAACACCCGTGTGAGAGAGAAACATCGATCATCTGCCTTCGGCGCGACCCCCACTGGGCACGGAGCCAGCAACCTGGGCATGTGCCCTGACTGGGAATTGAACCCGGACCTCTCAGTCCATGGGACGATGCCTAATCCATTGAGCCACACCAGCCGGGCTGTTTTAATATATTAAAAAGTTACACTTGTTAAATAGACTAAGAATTCTACATGAACAATAACCTCTGAACAAAAGACAAACTAGTCTTTAGTTGAACTAAAGAGAAAAGATCCTTGTCTATCTCTGCAAAAAAAAAAAAATGTTTTTCTCAGATTTTTGAAATACGATTCTTTCCCACTTCATTCGGGGAGTGCCTATATGTATTTAAATATGGAAAAACATACCTAGAAAAAGAACGTTGCAGGTCTGGTTGTCAATTCCTGCATAGTGCCACACCGTTTCAACTACTAGAGACTTTCGGCTGCTTTGATGTGTGGGAGGGGGCACTCGGCAGGCCATTGCAGAGGGGTTGCTACACGCTCTCTTGAGGGTCAGTGAGCCAGGGGTCAGCTGTCCCCGCACTAGGCAGCATCCTGGCCTCATGACATTTACTTCCTCCCTGCAGATGGCCGATGCCATGGAAATGATGATCCTGAGCATCCTCGCGCCCCAGCTGCACTGTGAGTGGTGGCTCCCCAGCTGGCAGGTGGCATTGCTGACCTCGGTAGGCAGCTGGCAGCTCTCTCCTGCTGTGCACAGTTCTGGTCCTGGGGTGGTCTGTGGGGTGTCCCCCTCCCCCTGCTGCAGCCAACGGCTCAGCAGAAAAGAATTAAACTCTGCGTGGAAACGCCATGATCTCAGCTTCCTTTAGTCCCCAGTACGTTGGCAGCCAACTCTACCGCACCCAGGGGTCCAACTCCCTGGGCGCCCCAGACATCCCTGCTCAACTGCTGGGAAGTTGAAAGCTACCTGGGCATATCGCTTAGACTTTATACACCTCACTCATCCAAAAAGGAGATGCCAACACCTCTCACATGAGGGTGACTTGAGGATTGGAAACAATACAGTGCCTGACACATAGTAGATGCTCAATAAATGATAGGGAGCTGCTGCTCCCTGGAATTAAGGCTTGAAAAAGAGTGAGGCAGAACCATCAGTTTTTGCTAGGGGGGAGTTCAACAGCAACCTTCTAAAAGAGGGGAATGGCCAGGCTGAATGAGAGGATAGTAATACTCACCAAGTTAATATTTATTGAGTATTTACCTTGTATACAAATATATGCATAATATACATTGTGCTCTTTAATCCTCACAACTCTTGAGGTAGCTACAATGATTAGCTGAGGAAAATGAGGCACAGAGAGGTGAAGTCACTCATGAAAGGTCACACATCCTAGCTAGTGGCAGAGTAATCAATTGCTCACTGGGAAGGCCTCCCAGAATGCTGGTCTTCCATGGGCAAATGTTCTGGAATGGCCTGAGTGCCTTCAGCAAGCAGGCCTGGTCTGATATTAGCAAGAAGGTTGTGTAGCTCAGTGGGAGGAGCTTCATAAGCACAGATACCTGCATTATAAAAAAAACAAAACAATTAGGCTCTCCTTCAATTTGGTTAAAAATAATAAAAAGGAATTGGACTCTGGATAGCTGACTAAAGGATTTGTCACAGGGTCATTGGTGTCCCTTTGAGGCAGCCTGAGGGTTTAACCTCAAAGCAATGCAGTGTGAGGGGGTGCTGGTGGGACTGGGGTGGAGAAGTGGGGGAGGGTGTTGAGAAAGGGGCAGCGGAACAGGGAGCAGGTGCGATCTCTGACTTGTTCTCAGGAAAGAGTGTGTCTGGAAGTTAAAAGCCTGGAAATTAATTCCTTTAAAATCAGCCACGTGGGCCTCTCTCTCGGAAGGCCTCTGCGTAGCTAGTTTGCAGCCCACTGCCCGAGGACATGCCTGGTGAATGCTTTTGGGGTCCGACCACACTGGGCACGCAGTGCTTTTACCTCTCTGAGCCTCAGTGGCTTTATCTGCAAAATGGGGATAATACAGCGGCCCCCTTGTAGGGCTGCTGTGAGCATCAGGTGAGATGTGTGTATAAAGCGTCTAGCGCGGTGTTGAAAGTTCTAGAGAGCCTGCCTGGATTGGAGACCCGCTGCACCCTCTTCTCCCTGGGATACTGAGCAAGTCTCTCTCTCTCTTTTTTTTTTTTTTTAATTTAAATTATTTATTTATTTAATCCTCACCCGAGGACATTTTTACATTCATCTTCAGATAGAGCAGGAGGGAGAGAGAGAGGAAGAGAGAGAGAGACACATCGAGTGGTCACCACCCACACGACCCTAACTGGGGCAGGGGACAAACTGCAACCGAGGTACGTGCCCTTAGTGGGAACCGAACTCGGGTCTCTCTGGTCCGCGGACCAACGCTCTAACTGTTGAGCCAAACTGGCCAGGGCTTTTAAAAAAAATTTTAGAGAGAGAGGAAGGGAGAGGGAAAGAGAGATAGAAACATCGATGAGAGAGAACATCGATTGGCCGCCTCCTGCATGCCCCCCACTGGGGATTGGGCCCACAGCCTGGGCATGTGCCCTGATCGGGAATCAAACTGGTGACCTCTTGGTGCATGGGTCGACACTCAACCACTGAGCCACACCAGCTGGGCCTGAGCAGGTTTCTTAACCCTCTGAACCTCAGACTCCCCATCTAGAAAACGGGTATGATGATTCCAACCTCATTAGCTCCGTTCAAGGATTAGCAATGTAACAGTGACTTTGCCTGGCACACAGTCTCTTCCTAATGGGTTACAGCCCCCATCCCCACCTCCTGTGTCCTGTTTTCATACTCTCCAAACTCTATCTTGCAACCTTTGATATTTTCTTAGCAACAGGACGAGCTATGTCTCTGGAATGGCTAGAAGTCAGTCAAATGCGACCTCTGGAGTTCGGCCTGCTTCCAGCCCAGGCTGCACCACTTACAGATGTGTGACCCTGGCCAAGTGACCTCCCTCTCTGAGTCTCAGCTTCCCCATCTGTAAAATGGGGACAGTAACTGCACCCACCCTCTAGGATTGTTGTACAGTTTCAACAGTAGCATAAAGCACAGAGCATGGTGTTTTCACCTTAGCAGGATCTCAATGAATGTTGGCTCCTTATTATTACTAGGGTGTGACGTCACAGGTTCAATCTGTTGTTCCTTTTCTCTGCTATATTCCGTGTCCTGGTCTAACAGGATCCCTCTTTCTACCCACAGGTGGTCTTTGTCGGCATGATGTCCAGCTCCACCCTCTGGGGAAACATCTCGGACCAGTACGGCAGGAAAACAGTAAGGCGACCTCTCCTAAGTGCACGTCCTCTAAGTTGCTGCCATGATAATGGCGACAAGTAGAAAACTTACGCTGCTTGAGCACGTGGGAAGCCTACTTAGGGGCTATGAGGCCGGGCTGTGAGAAGACATTGCTCTGAGGCCACTGTGGATTCTTGAAATCACACACTCCCTGGGGGCTCCGGCATGTGCATTTCACAGTATAGAAGATGCTGTCGGCCCCCATGGGATCCCCTTGGTGCTCACCATTCACACCAGGCTGGGGGAAGTCAAGGGTTGGCAGAGAAAGACATCAGCTTTCTTGCCCTAAAGTGGATCATGTCTCAGTCCCAGCAGGACTGAGCTCTGGGGCCACCAGGGCAACCTGCTCAGTAAGGCACCCTGAACTGTCCTCCTTCCCCACCCCTCCTAGGACTACCACCCAGAAAACAACAACGACGTGCCCTAGTATTCTCGTCTCAGCGTCTGTCTTGGGGGAAGCCCAGCCTCAGAGATGACATGAAAGGGATTTGCAAACTAGAAGGGAATGGACAGGTCTGGAATTGTATCGAGGGCTTACCCTTTTGTTACTTCATGGCTCTGATGGTCTCCTTTGTATTTTAGTAGCTCTTGTTTTGCTGGACCGGACTTGGGCTGTTTGGTTCTTTCGTTGCGGGAAGCTACAGTCCTTCCAATGATAAACCTAGGCCTTAGGGGAGAAGAGAGCTTTATAGATCCTGGCTTTCTTCGTCTCTTCCGTGGCCTCTGCTCACCGGCCTGCAGTTTCTCCAGAGGCAGGGCAGTGTAGTGGTTATGTGCTTGAGTTCTGAAGTGGACCTGGGTTCAGTCCTGACTCTGCCACTCCTGGCTGTGTGACCTTGGGCAAGTAAGTTGACCTCTCTGAGCATCAATCTCCATATCTGTATAAAGAAGAAATAACAGCATCTATATTGGAGGGTTAATTGAGGCCATGGGTGTGAATCGCCAGGTACAGGAGCCACGTGAGCTGGCTTTGCCATACAGTTGGCCCTCATTTATTGCGGTTAATCCGTTCCAGACTCTAGCGGTTGTACCTGACATTGAAGGATTCCTGGGGTGCTCGAATACATAGGCCTGCAGTCCATACGTGCAGTAATTTTAACTTTAATTGTAATACAGGGGTGTATAATTGACTCAGACAACCGAGCGCGCACTGTATCATTTTCACTGTCTCCATCAACATTTTAATGAATATATTTGACAAAACCATGGTAGAGTGAAGCCGCAGATGTCGAAGCACGAAATGGCGAGGGATGACTGTAATAGCATTTCTAACACGTTCCCAGGTGATGCTGATACTGCTGGTCCAGGACCGCACTTGGAGAACTACTGGCTTAGACTAATAAAAATCTACTCCTGGGATTAGGACTGGGGTAGAGATCTAGACACACTCGGAATTTTGTCAGGATGGGGGAAGGGACACGTGGCTGCCGGGGAGGTAACAGACGAGGTCCGTTACAACCCGCAGGCCATGGACTGCAAATAAAACGGTGCCTCGAGGGGCAGGCACTGTACGTGCATGATTCCTGCATTTGCTCACCCCACCGCCATAACAACCACTGAAGTAGGTACTGTTTTCACTCTGATCTCACAGCAGTGGAAACTGAGGCACAGAGCGTGGGCAGCTTGCCCAAGGCCACTCGGTTTGTGTGTCACAGAGCCGGGTCTCACTCACCCTAGACCGTTAACCGTGATGCCAGTGGCTTGAATCTGTAGGTGCTCAGTAACCGTACGTTGGCTCCACAAATGAATGAATGTTTGGACAGTGATGTACAGGAAGTAGACTCCGGCTGTAGCCCCTCCTTCCGTGACTGGACAGAAAGCACGTGGCCCAGCAGATACCTGGGAGGCGTTGACTAATAAACACTAATAAACCTCGGGGAAGTGGCTGTGGCAGGCGGGGCCGGAGGCAGCAAACTTGGGAAACTAGCTGCAGCCATCGTAGCCAGAGGACCCTGGGTGGCTTTAGGGGCTGGAGAGGTTACGTGGAAAGACCTCTCCAGGCCTCCTGGAGGGAATAGAAGCTGGACTCCTGTGGTCTTCAGGGGGTAGCTTTCTAGACTCTGCCCCCGTCACCCTCCCACCCACTTCCTGTTTCTGGAGGGCGTGGGTCACTGCTTCAGTGATGTTCTGGTTGGAGGATAGAGCAGAGTGAGATTTGGAGAGGAAGAGAGGGAGGGAGGAAGGAAGGAAGGGAGGAAGGAAGGGAGGAAGGAAGGAAAAGCTGAGGAAGGAAGGAAGGGATGAAGGAAAGAAGGAAAGAAGGAGGAAGGGAGGGAGGGAGGGAGGAAGGGAAGGAGGGAGGAAGAGAAGAAGGAAGGAAAAGAAAAATTGAGGAAGGAAAGAAGGGAGGGATGAAGGAAGGAAGAAGGAAAGAGAAGAACCTCTTACAAATCACAGAGAGCTATTTCTACATGGAGCAGAGCACCGGCTGAAGGAACCAAAAACTGCTGGACCTGATGTTAATCTTCAGGCTTGTAGAACAACGAAAGGACAAAGTTCTTCCAAGGTCTTAGCGTGGCTTCTTCCTGCGCAGACTGGGCGAGGGGGTGGACCCTCGTTCCTCTGTCTCTGGCTGAAACGTTTTTATCTGCCTGTTCTCGAGGCAAACGTGCGTGTGCACAGCAACGCCAGCATCTGTCATCAGGAGTGTCACTGGCCCCAAAATCTGTTCTCCAGCTGCTGAATACTGAAGGAACATGGGGGAAAGGAGTCAAAATACCTTGATTTGGGGCCTGAATCGGCCCAAACAAGTCAGCCCCCCACCTCAGTTTCCTTTTTTATATCGAAGCAGATTGGATTAGATAATAGCTGATATTAACAGCTACCATTTATCGAATTCCCCAGACTAAAGGGCAAATGGGTTTGTGTGCCCTTGAGTCTGTTTGAATCGTTCAGTAGGGCGTGTTGGGAACATGGATTTGAGGGGTCAGAGGCCCAGTGGGACAGTGCTGTCATTGATTAGTGATGTCTGTCACGGGCACAGGACAGGCGAGTTTAGTGAAGTCCCCAGGACAGGGGCGGTGCCTGCTTGTTCACGGAGGTGGCCCCGGCGCCTGGCACAGCACCTGGACTCTAGCAGACACTCAGTGAACACTTCTTGAGTGAGGAGCTGGCTGAGAATCAGATCGTGCGTCTATTTCCTGCCCTCCCCTTCTCTCCAGACCATCAACTCACTTGACTGATGAATCGTCTTTGTTTACCCGAAAAGTCCACGCAGGATCTGACTCCGCTTGGAAGAGTATGTTTATCCTGCCGCCAAGGGCAGTGATTCATAGTGTTCCCAGGGGGTTGTCCTCTAGAATATAGATGTCCTCGTGTTTATGATGGGCCTCGGAGGAGAAAGCTATAAGCTTGGATTTAAAAAAGATTCAGAGGTGGGTTTTCAGTAATGCTGTCTATGGAACCTTGTGACTTCTGAACACATCTCGGTACCTTCTAGAACAGTGGTTCTCAAAGAGGGGTACATTCCCTCCACCCCTCTTTAGTGATGTCTTCAGGTGATTTGGGTTGTCACAGCTGAGGGGAAGGAAGCCCCTGGTATCTAGCAAGTAGACATCAGAAGCAGACATTCTGCTTGAAATCCCACAGTCCACAGGAGAGTCCCCACCATAGACCCAGATGTGAATGGTGTCAAGGCCGAGAAACCAGGTATCGAGAGGGAATGTGCAGACGGTACCAAGTCACCTTGTCTTGAAGAGTTAGTTCTTCATCTTACTGTATCGCCTGGGGACTCTCAACCCTCACTTCAGTATTTGCCTAAGGTCTCATTTGGACATAGGAGATATTGGCATAGCATCAGTGTGACATAGCATCAGTGTGAGAAAGCATGGGCTCGGAGGGCAAACTGCTTCGGTTCAAATCCCAGCTTCTCCACGTAGGGGCTGCGTGACCTTCAGCAAAGGACTCAACCTTGCTGTGCCTTAATTTTCTCATCTGTAAATGGGATACTGATAGTTTCTCTCTCTCTCTTTGGGCTCTTATTAGAAGTAAATGGGCCCTTGTACAGAAAGCTCCTGACCCAAAGGAAGCATTTCAAAACTGTCCATTATTTGTTCTATCATTTGCCAAACTCATAGTGCCAATCAATGGCAATGCCAGTGTTAAAATGCAGGTGTGTCTGGCTCCACAGTTGACATCCTCCCCACCCCCACCCCCCAGACCTGGACTGTTGGGAGACAACTGAATTATCCCCAGAATTCAGTCCGTCAGTGGGACCTTCATCCATCTCAAACAAATGAAGCTTGGGGGGCTGCCAAGGGTATTTCTCCAGCTCTGCTGACCAGCTTGCTAAATCCCACAGCCAGCCTGGCTTGACTAGAGAAAGAGGAAAAAAACACCCCAAGACTGCAGCGCCCCCTTATCTTCTGTGGAGTCTGGCCCCATCTCAGGGAGGCTGGATCCGGATCTAATTATAACTTTCCCCAGAACTCCCCAGGAACAGCGGGCGAGCTGGGCAGCTGGGAGCTTCAGCGAGCGCTGAAAATCTTAGCTCCTTGGTCCGCCTCCGCCCACCTGGGAGGTTTCTGTGAGGGCATCCGCTGTGTGACTTTGTAGGGGAATCACAATTGGGGCTGAGACTCAGTGGGTCTCAACTTGTGGCCACTTCAGTTCCTACAGAAGTTTCTACAGCCTGGGAGCTTGGGGCAGCCACAGAAAGGAAGGGCAACTATGGGTGTGTGGTCTTGAAGGGATGGAAATAAACACATCCGGGTTCAGAGCCTAGAGACCCTTGAGCAACTTACTTCACCTCTCTGAGCCTCAGGATCCCACCTGCAAAATCGAGGTGGCAACAGTAGGAGCTCATAGTGCTGTTACTAATGTATGAGGCATTATACTAATGTATAATGTATAAGACAATGCGTGTAAGGCACTTAGAACCGTGTTTACTGATGCGTGGTTAGCCCGTGGTCAGTGGTAACTGTTACTGGTTGGAACTCAAAGAGAGACTGTTTCAGAAGATGATCAGGTCACCAGTTCAA